TGATGATGATGATGATGATGATGATGATGATGATGATGATGATGATGTGAACTGAACACCGCCTGGACCGCTTGTCCCGCCCACTGCGTTTAACTGAATAAGTGAGCTCTGGAATGGAAGTGAAGGGGCGGCTTTTAGGCACATGACTCTATTTGGAATTGTGTGGGTAACAGATGAGTTTTTTCCTGTTACACTTCACTTGTACACTTCCCCGTGCAGCTGACCGGCGGGCTGCGCGCTCACAGAGAGCCCTGACCAGGATGCGTGCCCTCGCGACGCCTAAGGTGTTCTGGATGAGCCTTTTGTTCCTCACAGCAGTGCCGGCGGCCAGAGGTGAGCTGCTGTTTTCATGTTTTATTCCCGCAGCACAGAAAATGCTTCCATCATTAGGGATCATATAAAGAATAAATACCGTGTTTTCAGATTATTAAAAGGAAAAGAGATGTCAAAAAGATTCCTTCATGAAATACAAAAAAAGTTTTTGCCTCTGTTTGAAAGTCTTGAATTGTCCGGAATCTAGTTGGATGATGATTATATTTGTTTATGATATTGTATTGTTAGAAAGTTCCTGCACTTGCATATTTACCAAAGTCTGAATGTGCAGCCATTTCTTATGCTAAAAGCCTGTTACTGTATCTCTGTCATAACATTCAAATGTTTTGTAGTTCAATTTTAGAATTTTTCATATAGGCTTATTTTTAACAGCAAAAATGGAATTAATAACTGGGCCAACAGCATTCCCAAAAAATACAGTGTGAGAATCAAATCTCAAAATTATATTTAGCTAAATACATTTACAAAAACGGTACTGTCATAGTTATTGCAATATTAGAACATAAGATGTTAGAATTTCCGTTTAGCACGTATATCTATTTTTTGTGACTGGTGAGTTTGATATGTTTTTGCAATTTGCTCTAAGATGCCTTTTCAATAGATGAACGAAACAAAATGTTTTTGTGCAAAAAGAAATGTAAAAATGTATTGCGTTAGAGACATAATCCTTCTTTTGGTTTCAGGCTCAAACGTGTGCACCTCCCGAGGAGCCAGCACATGCAAGCAGTGTCTGGCCGTGCACCCCAGCTGTGCGTGGTGCTTTCAAGAGGTAAGCTCCTCTTCCGTCTCACTACAGTGAACTCCATTTCAGCCTGATTGTGCCGGTCATCTTATCAACTGGCAAAAATCTGCCTGGGAAGAGCTCTCTGAGCAATTATTTAAAGTCTTGTCTATCCAAAAACACGGCATGTTTGGGTTAAAGTTGTGAACCAGCCTTTTTTTCTCACACGAGAGCAACACAGATAAGGGCAGGATGCTTGGATATGTGACTCATTCAGTTAAACTATTAAGAGGAAGTTGTTGAAGGTGATAAAAGCAGCCATTTTTAGTGACCAAAAAAAGCTAGCTGGAGGCATTTTTCTGATCTGAATATGTAGATGCAAGTCTTCATGTCTTCCACATTGCCTAACAATACATGAATCATTTCAGCTCGAATAGTCAATAGTTTCACTTATGATCACAATCATTCTTTGATTGCGTTCTCTGTGGTCAATCTCTGGTCTCTTCGTGCAGGACTTTGGCCATGGAGTTGCGAGCTCATCCAGATGTGATCTAAAGACAAACCTGAAGGCAGCCGGCTGTGCAGCTTTGGAGTTTCCAGAAAGCAAACTTCAGGTGATCGAGGACCGACCTCTAAGCAACAAAGCAGCAGGGGCAACGCAAGACGTAACCCAGATACAGCCCCAAAAACTACACATCACCCTCAGGCCAGGTGAGCCCTTACTTTAAATATCTTAGATTTATTTGGACAAACAGATTTTGGATGATAAGAAAAAAAAGGAAATCACTTAAATCCAGGAGATCGTTGAATAAAAAAGTGTTTCATATTTCCCAGATGATGCGAAGCTGTTCACAGTGAAGGTACGGCAGGTGGAGGACTACCCTGTGGACCTTTATTACCTCATGGATCTGTCCTACTCTATGAACGATGACCTCGTCCGTCTGAGGACTCTGGGCAAAGGCTTAGCCGAGGCTATGAACCGCACCACCAGCAACCTGCGCATGGGCTTCGGGGCTTTTGTGGACAAGCCGCTCTCGCCTTACATGTACATCTCACCCGAAGCAGCCGTGAGGAACCCCTGTTACAGGTAAAGCCGCGCACGTGCCATCAGCAGCGCTTTTCTGTCAAAGAAGGCAAGAGCTGACACAGACACGTATCTTATCAAAATCCAGACTTTGATTTCACATTCCTATGAAATTACTCCCGGGGTTGACTTCAGATCTTGTTTATGTCTGCATGTGGGAAGTAGCTCCATTACGCAGATGATGTCATTTTTGTGAGAACATCCTAAACACAGCAATAATAACACGGGCAGGGTCACAGCACTTGTTAAAGGCTCATCGTGGCTCCAGTAGGTGCTCAGTCAGCTGCTCTAAATCAGCCACAGGTAATTCACCCGCAGCAAGAGTCTCTAAATGTTGAACAGCAACTCCACCCCAGGGCTCCTCTGAAATTGATGTAGTGGTTTAATGTCTCTAGGGTGCCTTTACTTTAGGTTTACTCTCAGTCGGCCCAGCCTGCAGGAATGTTTGGATAAAAGATAAGACGAGAGCAGAATTCTGTGTAGTGGAAGTGGACCGTGGCGTTCTAAAAACTGTTTTTAAAGGTGATGTGTGTTAGAGTTAGAGGTAATCTATTTGACACAATGTTAAGCAACTAATACTTCTATTATTGTTTGAGAATCATTACATGAAATGAAAGAGATAACAAAGATTTGTCTTTGGTATTTCTTTCTATTCCTGCACTGCATTTGTATGTATTTATGAGTCTGTAGACTTGATTGTTGGTCATTGCTGCTCAAAATGTCTCAGGAATGGATTGGGTTGAACATTTGTACACAATTAATTGGTCATCTTAAATTCCAAAGCTGATCATGTCCCATATGTCAGTTCCTCTGTTAGTTGGATATATCTAAGTTAAAGAATGGGAAAATATGTCAACCGGTTGTGTATACAGGGGGATTTTGAGAAGATTTGATTTCATCACAAGTGCTGATTATTTGGCAGTTTATTATACTGACATCTGAAAACATTTAGTTTAAGTAACACAATCAAAATAACTGTAATGACTAGTTAAAACTGTAATTGTTGGTAAGACTAAGAATAAATATTGCGTTTTGGTATTAATGTTTCCTTTACTTGCAGGGAAAATGTGGTTAACATTTGGTTGTAAAGATTAGGAATGGCAGTTTCTGCTGTGTCTTCCTGAAAACGTTATCCTTCAGTTATTATTCAGGTTCTGTGCATACAAAAGACATTCTAAAACCAAGAGTACAACAGGTGTCCAAACAAGTGAACACTGATGTGAACTTTGCATTTTCTGTTAAATCTGATGCTTCTGCCAATAGCATCAGTGAGTTGAGTGGTACTCAGAAGAAGTGGAAAATACATGGTGAATTGCTATGTTCAATAGCATTTAGTGTAAGTGCCAAGGTGATCTTATATTTTGGACTTGCACAGTCTTCTCAGAAATGTTCTTGGAAGCAACGAACAACTGATCTAATCTCATAGTGAATAATTCTGAGAAAAAAAATGCAGGTGACTGGAATTTACATGCAAAAGAGCTTAATGGAGTGAAGGAAAACAAATTGCTCTGAGGAATGAGTAATTGTTGAATCAAACTGTTCATTTCTGTTTAATTGGCAGCATTAATGTCACCTGCCTGCCTCAGTTTGGCTACAAGCACGTTCTTTCTTTGACGGAGGAAGTGAGCCGCTTCACAGAGGAGGTGAAGAAGCAGATGGTGTCCAGGAACCGAGATGCCCCAGAGGGAGGCTTTGATGCCATCATCCAGGCTGCTGTGTGCAAGGTGGAGAAACGCACCGCACGCTCGCACACGTTCTCTGTCTCACGCACGTTGCCTGGATTTTATTTTGTGTTCTTTTATTCAAATGTCTCACACATACACAGAGGATTAGTGTGAGGCAACGAAAATTTAACAAAAGTAAATAAGAGACAATCTTGTAAAGATGAGAGGAAATGTGATTGGATTCAGTCTTAAAAACTGAGGGTGTTTTTCTTTCCTTTTTTTCTCCTATGGTAACCAGGAACAAATTGGTTGGCGACCCGGTGCATCCCACCTGCTGATCTTCACTTCAGATGCCAAAACTCATGTAGCACTTGATGGACGACTGGCTGGAATTGTCCAGCCCAATGATGGACAGTGCCATCTAAACTCCGATAATATGTATAGCATGTCTACCACTATGGTGAGTACTGTGCAAAAAGAATATGAAAAGACCAAATAAAAAAATGCAGGCTTGCTGAAACAGTTTAATTCAGTTTGATCTAACCATGCTTTCTGCTTTGGCTCACAGGATTATCCATCACTTGCACTGATCACAGAAAAGATGTCAGAGAACAATATCAACCTCATATTTGCTGTCACCAATCCTGTGGTTCCCCTCTATCAGGTGGGTTCACAGCCAGATGAAATTATTTTCTGACCTTTAGATACAACATGACAAATAAACTAATTCTAAATTATAGACAATGTATTTGTATTAGTTTTTTTTACTTTTGTTGGCTGTAGTGGCCTTTAATGATAGTAGCTGGACAGGAAAGGGTGCAGAGACAGAGAGGGGGAGAAAATCCCACTCTGCAATTATGTTAAATATAAAGTAGCATTTGCATAAATGTCCTCCAAACCCTACTGACTCTGACAGGCAATTCTTGGATGAAAAGAAACGAGGAAATCATCACATTTTGAAAAATCAAATATGTAGTGTTGTTTGGGCTAAAGAGAATATGACTATCGGTCTATAGTTAGAGCTAGCAAACTCAAAGGTATGCAGTTGTTTTAGAGCTTACAAATGGGCAACTTGAATATCTGTACAGACACCGGGTTTTACAGCATTAGCAAATATGATGCTAACTTAAATTCCCTAAACTGTGGAGAATCTTACCATAACAGCAACATATGAAGTGAAACTCTGCCGGATGCCACCAGTCTAACGGAAAATGTTTTGTAGAATTACAGTGAGCTGATTCCAGGCACCACCGTGGGGACGCTGTCTAATGACTCTGGAAACGTTATTCAGCTCATATTGAAAGCCTACGCAGTAAGTGCCACAGACATACATTTACACAAAAAGGTTTGGCTAGACGGTGGTTGAGGGGATGACATGTCCTTGTTGACGCACACCCACGATGCTTGAGTCATGTGTGATGCTGAGCCAGGGTATTAGTGGGAATTCCGCAGTCGCTGAGGTGTGAAGTTGACCAAATGTAGTCATTTTCTCGCTGTTTATGATGGCCGACAACTCATGTATAAATTGAGTATTTATTCTACATTCAGTCTTGTTTTTGGAGTTTCGTAGGTGCACGTCCATTAAGAAAATAAATGGGCAGATCTGTCAGATCCTTTCCTCTGGCACATCTACATTAAATTAGAGCCTATAATCAAGTGCCAGGCATAGAAAATGACCAGTCTTAAACCTCCTTTTTATGATGATGTGTTTTTTTTTAACATTTCCTTTTGTTGGCGTTGTCAGAAAATTCGCTCTAAGGTGGAGCTGGAGCTGCAAGGTGTCCCAGAGGAGTTGTCACTGTCCTTTAATGCCACCTGTCTGAATGGAGAGCTCATCCCAGGCCTCAAATCCTGCTCAGGACTTAAAATAGGAGACACGGTTGGTACCCTTAACATTCCAGTTCACTGCTACAAGTCTGCTGTCACATTTCAAATGTGATTTTAAAAAGAAATGAATTCAATAAAGCATGGCATGTCCTATTGTTTACCGCTTAATAGTAAAGCATAGGTATGAGTGCAAACTCAGTTGGCACATGAGACAGGTGTTTCCGAGGAAAGAGAGAAACTGACATATTATTGGTTAATGTGGTTAATGTGATATACTCTATGGTTAAGGGGATGTAGAGGTGTTTGTACTTTCTAAAGATGTGTGAACTACTTATTTACCAGTTTGTTGCCTTTGACATGTCACTCTCCCATCATGGGTATTATGAGCAAGAATACCCATGCTAAATATGTCAGTTGGTAGTACATACTATTGTTCACTGTCGTTTTGGACAGTCTAATATTTCCATTTCCTGTATTTAGCTGATATCTGCATGTCTGTAAAAGCAGACTTGCCCTGTGAGCAAGTGTTGAAGAGCAGATTATGGAAATACACCAGATGTTACTGCTTTTATCTCTAACACATGATGTTTCTTCTTATTTTTCGTCTGACAACATGGTAATGCTTTTTTTGTCTTTACTATTTCTCCCATCCCCAAAGCTTTTTATTGGTCTTTCCTCAGTCCAGGTGACATTACATGGCCTCCACACATTTCTTTCTTTTTGCCTCAGCTCCTCTTAATATGTCCATATATGGATCTCTCTCTACATGAAGTAACTGCCAACGTTTGGACATTACCAGATATGGATGAAAAACTGACTGAAAATTACTTTGACTAAGTGCATTTGGAGACATTCACTGAGTTGATTTGGTGCTGTTTCCAATTATTTTAAAAAGGATAAAAACATTTGTATAACTATCAAATCATCATAAATCAAACCGCATATTGTTTTAAGGATTCTACTAATAAACATATCTTGTTTCCTTGAAACTCCTCTTATCCAGGTCTCATTCAGTGTGGAAGCACGCGCTCGTGGTTGTCCCAAACAAAAGAAGAAAACCTTCATCATCAAACCTGTTGGTTTCAAGGACTCCCTCTCCGTTTCCGTCACCTTTGAGTGTGACTGCAAGTGCCAGGCCCGGGCTCAGCCAAATAGCCCCAAATGCAGCCATGGCAATGGCACCTACGAGTGTGGCATCTGCCAGTGCTACCCAGGGCGCCTGGGACCATTCTGTGAATGTGCAGAGGGTGACTATAACCCCACAGAGCAGGATCGCTGCAGTGGACCCGCTGGATCCAGAGGACCTCAGTCTGCCATCTGTAGTGGCCGAGGAGACTGCGTGTGTGGCCAGTGTGTGTGCCACAGTAGTGACTTTGGAAAGGTCTGGGGAAAGCTCTGTGAATGTGATGACTTCAACTGTTTGCGCTACAAAGGAGAACTATGCTCAGGTAAGCTTTGATGATCTTCTATCATTTCTACTTTTTATTTCATGTGACAGAAATGCTGAATGTGTAAGAACATGGTGACGGCCCTGCTCCTGATCTTACAACGTCACCAGTGAAGTAACTGAAAGACAGCTTAAGTGCAGTGAAATCAGCTGTACTTGCATGTATTCTAATCTTTCAGGAGAACTGAGCCAAGATTAGATGGTCCAAGATTATCTGAAAAACCATGCCGTGCTCTTGTAGATGTAAATCTGAATCTGAATCACAAATTCAATTTCAGAGCTAAAGAGACGATAACTCATCCGCCTTATTATTGTGCGTGTGTCAAACCTAGGAACCAGGGCATCACTGTGAAGTCATTGCTAAATGATAGATATACAGGTTCTGGAGAAACACATGTTGTTTTACTCCAGCAAGAATGTGCACAACTACATTTGGCATTTATTACAGCATGACTTCATGGTGAAAGAGTCCGGGTGGTATATTGCCCTGCCTGCAGTCCAGACCTGTGATGAAATGAAACTGTTTGGCTTGGTATGAGAACAAAAAATAAAAGAACGTTGATCCATAACTGCTGAGCGTCTATGATCTTAGATAAAGCTCATCAAGTTGACATTTGTTTAACAGTTGTCATTTCAGTTCATCCCCTTATTACCCAAAGGCTCTCCATTTTGGGCATTTAGACATTATAAATGGCAGACAAATTCTCAGTTATGTAATTTTACATCAAAATATACTATTTATTACCATATTAAGAATAAAGTAGTTCACAAATGATTGAATTCTGCTTAAATAGGATAGCCGCAAACCTTACCCCTTCTGTGAGCCTACTGTAAACAGGGAAATGGTTGATTTTGACATTTTTCTCACATGGACCACCTCAACACAGATACACTGCACTTTGGCTACACTCAGAAAGAGGAAAGACAACTGTGATTATTTTGCATGGCTTTGCTAGAGTTTCAGTGGAGGTGCGTACCTTAGTGTTAATGCTGGCGGCCACTTTAGCCACGCTGACTTGCCACCCATCCCATCTGGTTGGAATTACATGTAATAACAACTCTCCCCTCTGCCCAGTACATGTTCTCCATTCACAATAAACATATGGTGTAGTGTGGCCACCATTTGTGAGTGTGAGCTCAGGTTGTATGTTTGTGTTAACAGAGCCAAGTTTTGTAGCACAAAGTTAAAAAAGATTCATGCACGAAAAGAAGTTACTTTGATAGAAAGTTGCTGGAGTAAGTGTAAACAGCTGTTCTGAAATCTTTTAAAGCAGGGGACACTACCTTTTGTCAAGTAACTGTTAACAGCCGGTCATTGAATTAACAGTTATCAATCTTACATATATTAAGACAGGAACATGATCATCCAAAACAATTTCCAAGAGGATCAAGATGTCTGCTGAGTGACCAATTAGTACTTTCACAGAGCTAGCTTCTTAGTATTGTGAATATTGGTCTTAATTTTGAAAAAAAGAAAATGGAGAAGGTAACCAGCAAACTTGACTAAAAGTTTGAAGTATGAGGAATGCAGCTTGGTTCTGACCAGATACAAAACAAACAACTTTGTAGCTACCTGCTTTTACTCTTTATGTTGGGTAGACTCCCATCTCCAGAGTCCATCCATGCCTAAGGGACGAATTCTAGGATGGTACCAGTCTTTTTAAAGAAACAGAGAACAGAGAATGAAACACAGAAGACTTCTACCTCCTTATACTTCCTTACATCGTCCCATCTCATGTATCACTCAACCCCCCTTCCCTGCTCTCACAGGGAAATGTTTTGCTGAACTCCCCAAAGTCCATGCAGTAACATGAAAATGCCTCTCTGCTTACTCATTGGTTGGTGTGGTGTAATAAGGCTAAAAATAAATCCATGTTTGGTCAGAACAGGGCCAAGTGGGAGAGTACTGGAAATGTTCTAAGAGTGTGTCTATGGACAACATGGTTTGCTTTTGTCTTCAACAACCAAATACAATGTGAGGATCATTCTCATGCTGCCACAGAATGGTGTAATTAAAAGCTAGCAGTAATGTGGTCAACTTGTCAGCTTATTCATATACCATCTTTTATCTGGTCAGACAGTCCCACGCAGCTTCCTGTCCCATTGTTTATCTGGGAATTGTTTTCTGTGGTATTAAACCGCAGTGTTTTCTGCACTGTCACTCGTACCGACACGTTAGAGGCACTTCAGAAAAACAAGTAAAAAAAGTTAACTGTTAGATGCCCTGAATCATGCGGTAAATGTTTTTTTTTTTAATCGCCACAGACACTACAGCTGCACAATGAAAAAGCAATTTCAGGAATATATGTTACCCCTCAGCATTATCAACAATGCGTGTGATACATATGACACATGACAGATTTTCACATTCTATATAATAATGTTTAAAACGTCCTAGTATAATAACAAATATACACATTGTCCCCTAAGGAATCAGTTTTCTATTTATAACACATATGTAGTTAATTAAATTTGGTAAATAATTATTTACTATGTTACTAAATTGCATTAATGCTGTATCTAATGTCTCTGTTTTTGTTTTTTTGTTGGTAGTTAGTTTTACTAATCTGGATAGGGGGTTCTTCTGCGTATGTTATATACTCTGAAAAGCTCTTGTATTCAGTTCATCTGAAAAATGTAATGCCATTTCATGTAAAAATTCATTCATCATATGTGGAGGATTAAACTCCACGAATGATGACGCTTTAAAAAGCTGGTCGGAGGATGTTCACACAGCCTTTCTTCCCTCGCAGGCCACGGCGTGTGTGACTGTGGCTTCTGCCAGTGTGCACCAGACTGGCAGGGAGATAACTGCAATTGCTCCAGACGCACGGACACCTGCATGTCCACCCTGGGGCTGCTGTGCAGTGGCAGGGGTCAGTGCGTTTGTGGGGTTTGTGAGTGCACACAGCCGGGGGCCTACGGGGCCACGTGTGACAAATGCCCAACCTGCCCGGATGCGTGCACCATGAAGAAGTAGGTTTGCAAATCAACAAGCTCGTGATTTGGACGTGGCTTCAGAGGATTATTTAAAAATGAACTGATACTGTGAAACTTTTTTTTGCAGGGAATGTGTGGAGTGCAAACACTTCAAGAGGGGAAAGCTCTTTGACGACAACACCTGCACTCGAATCTGCAAAGATGAGATTGTGCTTGTAGATGAAATCAGTGAGACACAATTAATCAATACTCATATCAGAATCAAGCTAATTCAAATGTTATAAGCATTAATACAATTGTGAAGAAACAAAATGCTCAAATATAAAGCATGGTAAAAGCAGTTAAAGATGAAGAGGCAGAAGTGAAAATAAAGTTGATCATGAAAAGTTAAAAGAACAAAGGGTTAGAGTAGGAAACTATTAAAAAACCTATAATAAACTTTTTTAGAAATTTGAATGTTAACTGACAGTTTATTCACAAGGACCTTGATAGTGTGTGAAACCCCAATATAAGTTTTTCAAAAACACATCTCAGTAATTTTGTTATTAAATAAAAAAGAAAGGTCAGTTGTTTGGGAATTTACTTGTTTCCTTTACTTTTTTCACGTAGTCCTCCATGACACAAATGCTGTGAACTGCACTTACAAAGATGAGGATGACTGTGTGGAGCGCTTTCAGTACTATGAGGATGCTACTGGGAAATCCATCCTCTTTGTTGTCAAAGAGCCAGGTAAGAGAGATCTAAGCCATTTACGCAGACCAGCAGAGCTGCACTGATTACCAAAATAAGAAGTTTATACTTTTGGCCACTTTGTTTCTAAAAATGTTTTTTTTTATTCTGCAATATATATTTTTTTTTATTATTATTTTTTAACAAGTGATACTTGGCAAAGCTATTGATAATATAACTTGTAGTTATTTATTCATTTGTGCAAATAACATGAGAATGAGGTGGAAAATGCAATTAAAGCAAATAACAAAAGTGAATCACCACTAATGCATTAATGTTATCTGTACTATCAAAATTTTAGCTGACCTCCACGCGTTGTGTTATTCTTCATCTAAGCTCTGTTCGTCACCTCCCTGCCTGCTCTCCATCTTCCTTAGAAGTGGCCAAACAGAGAGAATGTGGGGTGAAACCACATTTAATTACCACCAATGCCCCCAGAGAAAGACTTCACTCTGGAGCATACCTTTCATGAATGTGTGTGTTTAATTTAAACACAACTGGGCATCTGAGAAGCTCCCTCAATTTGCCTTGAACACAGGCACACCCTGCTGTGTCAAAGAGGGCTGTAAACAGCCGCCCTGCTCTTCCAAAGACCTGCTGACTTTACATACCATCAAGAGGAAAACAGGAGTGGTAAAGAAAGAAAACCACGAGCCTTAAAGAAAAGCAGAAAACTTGAATTAATCAATGGCTAGTAGATATTGTTGCAAAAATGATCCTTAATTATCAGCACTGCGTGTTACACAGGTTAGCTGCAGGGAGCCAGAGGATCCGGCTTAAGTGCCGGAAACCAAGCAAGACAAAAAACAAGGAACAGTTCTTTGAAGTTGGCTGTAAAAATTCACACAGGTTGCCTCCGTTGGTTCTCAGTATTGCTGCCTCCATACACACGGTTTGAGTAGAAAACCCCACGCTCAAAAGTTTCCAGTGGTTAGATGTTTAAAATGTGTTCAGCTTGTCAAAATCACACACACAGAACACACATCAGATGAATGTAGTTGTACCAAAGGTTAAAATTGTATTTATTTTATTGACCCTTTTTCAGCACCATCAGTTTTTATTCTCTCTACTACGCTAGGTTTGTTGGTTGAAACTATAAAAGAATACTTTAACATGTAGCAACGAAACATTGAAACAAAAGCAAAGTGACACTGTGACCACAAGCCAATGTCTAATGAGTCCTAATTTTGCCACAATGACACTTTCCAAAGATGTGTGAAATGAAATTAGGCATATCAAAGCAAAAGCTAATCAATGTCCATGCACAGATGTCATATCTAAGTTTTTTTATCCAAGTTTTTTTAAAGTTTAATTTAAAATGGTTAGAAATAGATTAAAGAACATAAGAGATAGATTAAAGAACATTACTTTAACTTGTGACAATAACCTAATTATGTCATTCCTATCAATAAATAATCAGTGGCAGCATGTTTGCAAACTTTGCAGTCTAAAACAGTCTATTCTTTTTTTATCCCACAAAAGATTGTACTATAAAAACTACTTTCCATCAAACCATTCCCCTGATGCCCAAATTAAACCAGAAAGGAATAGTCACTTCTTAGCAGAGGCATTTTTTTCTATTAAATTTAAGATGGAATAACTTGGTTCATCGGAACCAAGAGTGATACAGTGTGAACTGTTAGTAAGTCTGACCCAAAGAGAGAAGAGGACTTTTGTAAATGTCTTATCTGCTTAAGTTAATAGTTAAATGCTGACTGACAATTTTTAAAAGTCACAACTTGAATCCTTATTCTCTTTGTCTCCTTGACTCAAATCAAGTCAAATATCTCGATGAGAGCCTTTCCTCTTATTGTCTGCTTTACTTCCTCCTGAATTCCCCATACGTGCATAATTTTAACAAGTGGGTAAAAAAATGAAGAATGATTCAACACCATTTGGCCTTGAACTTCCTTTTATACTTCTCAGAAAAAAAAGCAAGTTATCCACTGGAGTTCTAAGAAAAAATACAAGAAGTTATGAATTCTTCTGCCCTGCTGGGAGAGATCTTATCACGGTGAAGAGCAGTGCCGAACAACTAATGTGTGTTCCTGTAGTTTAAACAGGGCAAATTAGATTCCTGTCTCATTTTGCCAGACCATAATGAGGAAAGGGAGTTTTGTGGCACAGCTTTAAGATGTTAGAATTTTCCTAAGCAGCCTGTCCCCCTCTCTGCTCAGTGGTATTTAACAGTTTGTTCACCATTAAGCTGCTCAAATCTACTATCACTGCACTGATAAGCTTCAGAAATGACATGCTGTTAATGCTAACCAGGCTGTCGGTTTGATTTATATCTTTTTCTGTGTGTCCACTCTACTTTTTCTTTATCTCTTTCTGACCTTGTCCAGACTGCCCCAAGGGTCCAGATATTTTGGTGGTGCTTTTGTCGGTGGCAGGAGCCATCTTGTTCCTCGGCCTGGCTGCTTTGCTGATCTGGAAACTGCTGGTTACCATCCATGACAGGCGGGAGTTTGCTAAGTTTGAGGAAGAGCGTGCTCGTGCCAAGTGGGACACAGTGAGTGCACGAGATGCCACGCACATTCATGTTGTCACATGGGAATATTGTGGATCTGGAAACAAACTAGTGGAATATTACAACCGAATTAAGGGTTCTGATGCGGTTTTAAGTGGTTCTAGCTGTGAAACTTCCTTCCTGCTCTGTGGACGTACACATTTACAAAAAACTAAGGGTACCTTCTTCACACACAAGCACAAAAAGGCCACACAGGCAGTGCCCTGCCCCCTATTTTCTGAAGCTGCATTTTATTATTTTTGTAGCATGCTGTTACACCCAGTGGAACAAAAGGAAGTCAGTGGAAGGGCTGGGTTGAAATTAGCCAACACTAATCAGTGTTCATAAGTAAGAGGCCAATTTGTGGCCTTTTAAACACACAAATCTAACGGGACTCAGAATAGCAGCGATAAAAGCGTGTGCCATGCAGAAGATAACATTCCTGAAACAAATCAATGTAATCTACATGTGAGGACAGTATAGATACCTTAATTGAGTAATGTGGTGTGGATCTTTAAACTTCCTTTCTTGTATATCCAAGTATTTCAAATGTATTTGAGTGTGAACTGCACATTAACTTGTCTTCAATTATGTTGTGTCAACAGGGGCACAATCCTCTCTACAAAGGAGCCACATCCACCTTCACAAACATTACATACAGAGGAAAAGACTGATGCTGCTGAACAAAGATGAAGAATAAAGAATGGAATAATGCAACAAATCATGTGCAAGATTCTACTGTCACAAGAAAACAGTTGATAATTGCGTGTAAATATGTAGAAATTATTCTGAGGGCACAATTCATCAGGGACAAGACCCTCATCCACACTGATAAAATATAAATAAATTGTTTTTCAGGATTTACTGATTTTTTTTGTTTGTTGCTGAAGTCATAATAAAGGTTTGATTCCCTCAAACAGATGTCATGTATCTGTAGCCTTTAAAATCCTAAAATATGAAGGAGTATGGTGCTTAGACATCAGCCAATTTACAGAAAACGACATGACAGTTTCATTTTTAAACAGTTATTTCTCTGTGATCAAGAATAACTGTGCCTACAGATGTATATTAAAAGAAAACAAGATCATTGTTTCACACACGCTGGATAATACAAAGAAAAAATGTATCAACATAAATTGATTAAAACAAATTCTCTTGTAGAAATGAAAAATAGATAATTTGGGATAACTCATTCTAAAGTTCTGAAAAACAGATGGGAGGATAATACTTTATGATGCATAGAAAACTTAATAACAGATTGGCAGTTTGGAAGTTTGGACTTCCTGTTTGATTCTGTGGAACCACAGCACAATAAACGCATTCTGCAGTGGCATCCTGCAGATAAGAAGTGGTTTCGAGTATGCTGTGGGTATTTAACTTTTTAGGAATTTTCTCAAAGGCGTTGAACTTTAAAATGATATATATTGATGTATAACCAGCAGAGGTGACACATTTCTGTAGTTAAAAGACACTTCTAAGTTTGTCTGAACTGTATTAATCCCAGAATGGGTTTCTTTTAGACAGGTCACCTCCCACACTGTCACCACTGCCATTCACACAGGATGTTTGTCACTCAACTTGACAAATAGAATTTCCAAGAAATGACAAATGATGGTGTTTCATTTGTATTGCTGGAATTGACAAATGATTTGAACTTGTATTTTTGTTCTTATGAGTATGTATACTTTATTTGTTAACTCAAAACAACAATTTAAAAAGTCAGCATTGTGCATAAGCGGCATTATAATATTCACAACAAGATAGTTATTAGTGTGTATGTGAGACAAGGGTCTCTAAGATGGGCTGGCTACATGTCCAGGGTGAAACTGGGTGAGACTGTGGAAGGTTTCAGAACAGCAACTAACACAGTGACCTCTTGTGGAACTTTTGATCATTTCTACGAAAATGTCTAAAGATTTAAGAGTTCTGCAGTTTAAATTAATAATATTTTTATAAAATCTTACGACACCACAGCAAATATCATTAGACCAACATGCACAGCTGTTCAGACCATTTGGATAGATTGAATGTTTATTTTAGACAAGGAAAAAACTGGCAGAGCAACCTGCCTGTCTGTATTTAATGATTAAAAAAAAACACATGCAGATTCACTAACAGAATTACAGAAGGCATTAAATTATGGTAATTTGGTTTTATTTTTACTCCAGCAAGCTTTGGTCTGACTGTCAGTGTTTCCTTCCACCCCAGAATGAACCCGGGGTTCTTTTTGGACATGCGTTCATGGACCACCTGCTCCAACATTTACTGACTCACTTTTTTTTTTGTGTCTTATTTCATCCTCCAACTTAACCTGGTATTTGTTCATTTTCAGGATAAGACAGAGAGACATACATATCAATTCAGCCCACATACATGTGTGGTTATTCAGCATTTTCTGAAACTTTAACCTGAAGAAATTCTTTACTCTCAAAAATATTTTCAAAAAAATGAACAGTCATTTGTTGGTTTGATGAGGGCATTTGGACGCCTGGGACTCTGGGAGGGTTTTTTCCTCTTGGCTCCGTTTTATTCCTGACGACAGTATGCTGTCAGTTTATGGGTGGTTCTGACCTGAGGAAGTTACATTATGTATTAATCCAGCACTTGGGAAGCATCAGTGTCAGCCCTCTGGAGCTCTGTGCGGCCTTGGTGCAGAGGGTTATGATCTTTTGATATCACTTAAAGGATGGTCTCCAACAAAGCGAATGTTCCCGGTGTGGATGCTCGATAATGTTGAGAGATACACGGAGTGAGGCAGAAATGTGACAACACTTGTCAAGAGGCTCCTAAGCATTGACAGCTCCCCTGGCTACCCGTGGTGGGGCTCCAACACAGACAAGGAAATCCCGAGGATCACGGCCTCCCCTCCGGATGACACCAGCAAGAGCCAGCTACACTGCTCCGTGTAGCTAGCATCGGCTAAGCTAGCAGATGTCTTACCTGAATTCGACAGAACTGTAAATGGATGACTTTATTCATACATCGTTATTTTGGGCGTGTGGGACGTGGAGTTGTTGAGGAGTTTGCTTTCGCCGGATGGATGGGCAACACCCTGTTTTAATTATCTGAGTGGTTGTGGAAACTGCTAAAGGTTTTCCAGGTGAGACTTCGACTGAAGCTAACGTTAACCTTAGCTTGCTCCACAACTTGAGGCTGGCTAGTTTGGGTAACTTAACCTCCCAGCCATTGACATTACTCTATAATCAGTAACATCTGATCTGCTGTCTTCATTTCTCAACTCTTAAACTAAGGCATCTGTACGATGGTTGAAGATCTGCTTATCTTTTTACAAATCTAGGCTCGATTTTGAGCCATAAAATCAGTGTTAGCCAAGTTTGGCATTCCTCATCTGCCGGTTAACAGTTGCTACATCAACTTCTACGAAAAGATTTCCTCTGCAAACTCGATTAAAATTATGTAAATTTAACTCTGTGACTTTGTCATTGGAGTTGGACTGTATCCACATAAGAGTTGCTCGCTGGCATTGCTTCGAAAAACAAGTTTATGGGATTCTTTAGCCAAAACTAGATTAATTTGTTATGGCACAGCTGTCATGAAACATCTCTCACAGGCTGCAGGATTAGTATCAATTGTTAAATGACACTCCTAATGTCTAACAGAGATTTACGTGATATATATATATATACACACATGGTAGAAGGTGATGATATGTTGTATGTTTTCCCTCTCCTTACTTACCTGGTTGGTTTGCAGACTGTATCATTTCATTGCATTGCAAACGTTTAAACCTGGGGTGAGGTGAATTTTCTGCATTAGAAAAATCTACGCTTTCCTTTCTTTAAATATCCAATTAGATTGATCATTTGCACATGTAAATTTGGACATTTCTGGTAATCTGTGGTCTTACCTTCAAAAACTGTGGGTTCCCTTCAAAAATAAATTTTCATAAATTTTCAAACATTTGAGGAGTCTCATTTAACTTTGGAGTGCATTTAAATAGAATCTGACAAGGTTTTTTTTTTTTTTCTAAACTCATGGAATAACTGATCCCCTTCAATTCTCTTTTTATGATGCTCAAATGCGGAGATATGTTTGATTTTCAGATTTTGCCCAAATGTGACTGAATGCTTTTCATGTTTCTTGTGTGGCAGAAATCCAGCCCACCTTAATGATATTTTCTTCCACTGTCTTTCACCTTTTGAAGCAAGATGGAAGGGCTCCATAGCCACGCTATTAGCCTAGACCCACGCAGGCAGGAGCTGCTTGAGGCTCGCTTCACTGGAGTTGGTGTGGCTAAGGTTGGTGCACTTTTTTTTAATACAGTATTGCCTAATTAAGATGGGTTATTCTTAGTTGGGAATGGTTCTGTAAATGTTAGACTTCAAATAGAAATGAAGTCATGTTACATTTAAAATGGTTTGAGAAATTCAGTTTGAAAAGCTTAAGCAGCTTTTTTTCTCTTTGCAGTAACATTATAGGTGCTAACACCCTCTGTGAACACAAACGGGAGCAAATCTCTGTTATATTGGCCCTATAAGTTTAGATAAGCTTGGTCATCTGTTTAGACTAAAACTCTGTGTTTTGGAGGTTCCTGCAGTGAATGGTTTGTTTTCCTGTGCTGAAGGTAAAACAAGACGAGCTCTGTTTTGGCTGACACAGGAGCTGGCCGGGAGCTCTTTGTTTCACTTGAGTCTAGTGACAGTCAAATGGCACGGCACTGGAAGCTCACATCAGTGGCTGCACGCTGTGCATCAGCTCTGCCGTTTAACTGCACCGCTGTGTGTGGATGCCTGTCGGAGAAAATGGCAACCCCTGAAAACGCTGTCTCTGTTTTTCTCAAGTGGCCTGCTGGCTGCAGTGCCAATGATCAAGTGAAATGTATCGAGTTGCCGTTCTAACACGTGGCAATGAATTTTTAAAGTGTACGTGTTAATAGAAAGGCTGGGAGAGTTTCTGGGCGGTGTGTTTGCCTGACCTTGAGCAGCAGAAAGCAGCAGCAGGCCTTAAAAGCATTAGCCTGCTGCCCTATTAATCCTGCTGTTTCCTCTAATTCTCATCAGGTAGTCATAGATGTCTCCATGTGGATAGAGATGTGAAGACTGACTGATTAGCAGAGCGATCTGTTTTGTACGCCCACTGCTGCACCCTGTAGTGGTGTTGCCTTTAGCACTGTAACTGAAGGATTCACTAACTGGAATCACAACATGAATGCCAGATTAAGAGTTTCAGAAAGGACTGATACACATTGACGTGAAGGACCTGTGAGCACTGTGGTAACGTTGGCAGCCAGTTTGTTTTCATTTGTCAAATGAGCATGGATTGCTAAGTTTATTCTGAGACTTAAGAGGAGCTTCTATCTTTCTTTTGATTAATTTTTGATTAATTTTCATTAGATGTGGTGATTGTCTCCTCGTGATTATTCTTTTCTATGTACAAGAAAGCCTTGTGACTAATCAATCCCAATAATTGTTTTCCCTCTGCGTGATAGAGCTCAGCCAACAGCGAATCATCAAACCAGTCTCTGTGCAGTGCAGGATCACTCAGCGACAAAGAACTAGAGGTTGGTGTGGGAAATAAGTTTGCTTGCTTATCCTCAGCCCAGTTTCTCGTTTTGAAAATGGTGTTATGGCTAGTTTTAGTCTTAGGGTTTCCTTCATATTTGATTGAGTTAACAAACATAAAAACTGGACGCCACGGTTGGCTCTCAGCTGAAATTTCCATCAGCTGTATTTGTAAATAGGATATATATCTTATTTACGGAGCTACTTCAACATGTCGCCAACAGAGATGCACAGAACCCACCATCATTCAACTCTTCCACTTTAATTGCTTTGTTTGAATTTGAAAACGTGAAATGCTTTTCTTCTCCTGTCAGACACCAGAGAAGAAGACCAACGAGAGAAGCAGGAAGAGAAAAGGGGACTTCTTTGACAACAACAGCCAAGGTGAGTTCAGTCTGTTTTCTGGCTGTCCCACTGGGATGGTTCCTGCTGTAATTACTCTCTGTATTCAGAAATGTTGAGCTGTTAATATTTTCATCAGTGGATATGATCTTATTCCTTCATAAATCTATGAAAGCAGAGAAAAAATATTTTGATTTGCTGCTAATGTTGTGTGTATTCTGTCCATGTAGGAAAGGGAAAGGGGCAGAAAATAGGTGATTATTTTGAGGTGAGTATAAGCCAAGCACAGCTAATATATCATCGTTCTTCTGAGTGCATTTTCTTTCTCTTTATTTCGGTGTTCATTGTTCCAAGTCACCCTCTGCCTCTAGTGTCTCACCCTCATTTTCTCTCTCTGCAAGTTCCTTCATACACCTTTTTTTCTGAATAACCACTCTGTCCTCTTTCCCTGTGTTTTGTGTCTTCGCTCTTTGTCACTGTCCCCGTGGCCAGTTTGCTGGTAGCAGCGGCTCTGGCACCAGTCCGGCCCGAGGCATCCCTCTGCTGGTACGCTCCTCTTCACAGCACTCACTGTCTTATTCTCCGGTGAGCACCGGCATCCATCTTCATAGCTCCCATCTGCTCTGCTGTGTGCTAATGGGCGCTCTGTCCTTAACTTGTGCCCGTGTTGCCCGGTGACGGCCTGCGCCCTGGTCTAATTTTAGCTTCTAAACATTTATTGAACAAAGTTTAAACCAGGTCAGGCTAAACTGTCATCGTGGAACGTGTGCATCTGTTCAGCTGGTGGAAGTCATAAAGTCACTTTGTTTTCATGACTTCTGAGTCAATGGATGGTTGAAAAGGTTGATGAACATAACGGCTGACAAGATTAATGTGTTGTTGTTGTTTTTTTGCTGGTGTCATGGTTCAGGGCGTTTTGGTTTATCTATTTAATGGGGAGCTAAAATTTAAGACACTGAACAGTGTTCATTTTATTAAACAAGCTTGGTTATCTTTGGCTTTTAAGACTGAAAATACTCTGAACATAGACTGAAAATACCCTGAATTAAGAACTGTGCCTTTAACAGCTGGGTGAATCAGACTAAAAATTTCACTGGAAGTGTATGCTGTTAATACCCTCTCTGTTCCACACTTCATTCACTAAACATACCAACCATCTATTCGTAGTTGTCGCTGGATTATTGACTATGTAGTGATTCCTAAGGTGCAGACGTGGGTCAGATTTGAGTGATGGATCATTTTGTTTGAATGCTTATCAAGTACTGTGAAAGTCTATTATTTTTTATCTGTTAAAACTCTACAAGGTCAACAGATAAAAAAACAATTGAAGCCCATGCATCTTTTTATGGGGCATTCATACATTATCCAGACACAGTCCTTGTGATCCCACTGTGACTGAAGGTGCTGCATGCTACATGCTAATGCACAAAAAGAATGTGACAGCATTAACTCGATGTGTTGCATGGAGGGACTGGAGCACCATTTTGTGAGGATTGCTCTCTGCCTACTAAAGTATTGTTATGGATTTGTAAATTCTGTGCTGTGGGATTAAGAACAGTCACATTGTGTGACAAAGGGAAGAGACGGAGACCGTGATAGGACAGAGGAGAGAAGACGGACACTATCGAGAGAAATTCAGTCACGTTGCAGAACACAAGATGTGCTAACTAACCAGCTGGTGTTTTGCTTTGACGTAATCTCATGGGAACCAAAAAAACAACAAAACATTTTAGAGGCTGGTTCGGTAGTGTAAGCGGAGAAACACTGTCTTGGAGTGAGGTCTTCAGTACCAAAATGCAGCATGCCATCTCATCATATGATGTCTGCATCAAATTCTGGAGATGACTTTGTTTTTTGTTTTTTTTAAGACTGTTCTCCTTTTATTTCTCTTTCTACTACCTGGATTGTCATTCTAATCCCACTCTCTTCTTCTCCCTCTGTCTCTGGTGAGTGCAGTTTCAGCATGGCAGTCCTTCGTCCACAGGCTCCGCCCACACCGACTCCTCATCCTGCAGCTCATTTAAGACCGCTCCCACTCACTCCTGGTCACACAAAGCTATCCAGGTAGACGTCTAACCCAGGGGTTGACCATCTCTGGTCCTCGAAGGCCCTCATGTTGCAAGTTTTAGGTTTCCCTGCATCAACACACCTGATTCAGATCAAATAGGAAGGACTGCTGATGTTGCGTTGATGTGAATCAGGCGTGCTGAAGTTTTGTTTTTGTTTTTTTTGTCCCCCCCTCACTCTTTTCTCTCTCAAACTCGATTTTTTTAGTTTTGGGCACAACTTGGCATTTATTTTGATCTCCCGATTCAAAAGTTGGCCCGATCCCTAAGCAGCTTCCATTTGTTAATAGAAAACATTTAATAGAAATATCCAAAGATGTTTCTATCCATTAAAAAAGAGAAAAAATGTAAGCCAACATGTTGATGGATTAAATGAAGGTTGAATTAAAGGGCTGCCATTTAATTATATAACATGGAATATTCAAAGTTGCAACTATTGATTTTGATATGTTAAGATATATAAATGAATTTAGATAATATTTATTCATTATTAATTTGAACAGAGTAAGATGTTGATGTATGACTTAATTTCTGAACCTTTCTTCCAGTCAGAACTGACGCTCCTGAAACTGACAGCACTGGAGAAGGTTAAAAACTCTGACCTGGAAAAGAAAGAAGGGAGGATAGACGACCTGCTGCGGGTAAGTTTAATCATTTCTCTTTTGGACGCCGCCCAAGTGTAGTTTGGCATTTTCAGACCATTCAGTGCTTATTAGTAAATGTTACACATTAAAATTCCATCAAGCAAACAGATACAATTTTCACATGGCTCACACAATCTAGTGTGTGTAATTCAAATTAATAAAAAAGCCCATTTTAATTGTCTGTTTTCATCTTTTCATCACAACAACCCCAGCAGTCCCAGTCTCTTAGCTGAAAGCCTGGCTTTAGTGCATGATGTCAGTATGAGAACAAAGCAGATCTTTGTTGTAAGAATAGAATCAGTAGTCATACTAATGTTGTGTGTGTCGGTAGGCGAACTGTGACTTGAGGCGGCAGGTAGATGAACAGCAGAAGATGCTTGAGCGCTATAAGGAGCGGCTTTACAAATGTGTGACCATGAGCAAAAAGCTGCTGGTTGAGAAGGTCAGTGTGAATATCAAGTATAGTACGAAGATAAATGTGAAATCTAAAACAGCTTGTCAAAATAGACTTTAATTTTCTTTCCTTTCTCTTTTTGTTTGTTTGTTGTTGTTTGTTTTTTCTTAGTCAAAGCAGGAGAAGATGGCGTGCAGGGACAAGAGCATGCAGGACCGCCTACGTTTAGGTCACTTCACCACAGTGCGACACGGAGCCTCCTTCACTGAGCAGTGGACAGATGGTTACGCCTTCCAGAACCTAATCAAGTCAGCATGTTGAGAGGCGCAAACATTTGTTTTCACGGTGTCTCATCCGCAGACAGATATGTTCACACCAGCTTGTTCGTCCACGTTTTTAGGCAGCAAGAGCGAATCAACTCGCAGCGGGAGGATATTGAGAGGCAAAGGAAGCTGCTGGGAAAGAGGAAACCTCCCCTGGCCCCGACACCCCCACCCCACATGGAGCAGAACAAGCGAAAAAGTAGAAGCAATGGTCAGGAGAATGAAACGTAAGAGCAGCTTGACTTCCAAGTAGAGCCAAGACCTAAAGGAACACATGGCTTTACACAAAAGCCCATGTGTCTGCTAGCTGGAAGCTGTGAAGCCTGTGTTGTCATCACGTTATGTGGGATCTTTCCACGTGATGTTGATTTTGACAAGAATTGTATGATTGGAACAGCTACATGAATAACACTGAGCTATGTGAAAACCTAGTCTTCTTCTAAAGGTCTCTGTGTTACAGGTCACCTGAAGTAAATTCACACCTCACTTAACTTTGGTTTTAAAAGTCTTACCTTTACCCCACACTGTCGCACACAGGTTGTCCCTGGCAGAATACCGTGAACAAGAGGAAATTTTCAAACTGCGAATTGGTCATCTGAAAAAGGTACCAGCTCAATGGCTGCCCTCGCTTCTAGTTGTTTTGGCTCTTCTTTTAGAGAGTGAAATGGTGGGTGGTGAATCATTGTAACTCTGCAGGAAGAAGCAGAGGTCCAAGCAGAGTTGGAACAGCTGGAGCGGGTTAGAAACTTGCACATCCGAGAGCTGAAGAGAATCCACAACGAGGACAACTCTCAGTACGTATATCCGCATTTTAACATGCCTCACTTTGGTTCTGTTTTTCTATTAAAGTCACACATCTTGAAGAAGGCATAAGTTGAACAAGGTGTTCCTCTGTAGGTTCAAAGACCATCCCACACTGAATGACCGATATCTGCTATTACGTTTACTTGGGAGAGGTGGCTTTAGTGAAGTTTTTAAAGTAAGTGTGCAGCCTTTATGTGGCTTTTTTTCCACTCACTGTTCCACTTTGTTTCAGGAACTTTTGTTTTTGAGTAACAAACGGGAGGGGAACCAAAAGTGGTGAGGTGGTGTTGAAGTTTTCTCAGTGTCATGTTTCTTTGGCAGGCTTTTGATTTAACAGAGCAGAGATATGTGGCTATTAAAATTCATCAACTCAATAAGAACTGGAGGGAGGAAAAGAAGGAAAACTACCACAAGTGAGTCTAATGGTGCCTTTTTTTATTAGATTGGGAATATGGAGGCCTCAAACTCCCTTTATGTTCATTGATTTTATTTTTCTTTCGCAGACATGCCTGTAGAGAGTATAGGATCCACAAAGAACTTGACCATCCACGAATAGTCAAACTTTATGACTATTTCTCAATCGACACAGACTCGTAAGTACCTGCACAAAGCAACCAAAAAAATAAATAAATATGAATAGCCCTGTCCACCAAAACATGTTTTGCATTTACACCTCTCAATTTGCAGTTTCTGCACAGTGCTGGAGTACTGTGAAGGCAACGATCTGGATTTTTACTTGAAGCAGAACAAGTCGATGACAGAGAAGGAGGGTCGCTCCATCGTCATGCAGCTCGTCAATGCCCTCAAATACCTCAATCAGATTCGGCCTCCCATCATTCACTACGACCTCAAGCCTGGTAGCTTCATGGAGTTCTGACGCTTCTCTTTTATTCAGACAAGGAAAAGACTGTCCGCTAAACCAAAATGTTTTTTCCGCTCACAGGAAACATTCTGCTTGTTAATGGCACAGCCTGCGGGGAGATTAAGATCACTGACTTTGGCCTGTCCAAAATCATGGACGATGACTGCTACAGCTCTACAGATGGCATGGAGCTGACCTCACAAGGAGCGGGGACCTACTGGTAAACATATGCAGCACTGCATTTAGGAAACAAGCTTCTAATGTGGCTTCAGATGTTCCATGAGGGAGATGCTTATTACAGAATTCATGTCTCTCCACCAATGGATGTTTTTGTGTCTCACAGGTATCTACCACCTGAGTGCTTTGTAGTTGGGAAGGACCCCCCAAAAATATCCAACAAGGTGGATGTTTGGTCAGTCGGGGTCATCTTCTACCAGAGCTTATATGGGCGCAAGGTAACTCCTCCTCTCTATTCTGCTGGACAGAAAAGGATTGAAAAAGACACATTTTCCTTTGGAAGATGACTGTTAACTGCCTGCCTGTTTGTCTTCCTCAAGCCATTTGGTCATAACCAGTCTCAGCAGGACATCCTCCAAGAAAACACCATCCTTAAAGCTACGGAAGTGCAGTTTCCCCCGAAACCCGTGGTCACCACAGAGGCCAAGGTGGGGCACACGTCTTTTCCTGAAGTGCAGCCATCTAACTGTAGTTTCCATCAAACGTTTAATATTTAAAGGGAGACTTTTTGGCTTGATTAAAGGATTGTCAGTGCTAAGTGAGACTGAAACAGGATCGCAACAGTTAACGGTTTAGAAGATATTTCTTGGTGTGTAGAGAGTAATAATCCATCTTTCCCAGGCCTTCATTCGACGTTGCCTGGCCTACCACAAGGAGGATCGCGTGGACGTGCTGCAGCTGGCCAGTGACCCCTTCCTAATGCCGAATATTCGAAAGGCCCTTGGCAGCAACACACCCTTGGTGGCCGCCAGTCCCTCCACGTCCAGTTGCTACAGCAGCGGCGCTTCCAACTGAAGATAGCTGGAGTGAAGCTCCAGGGAGGACAACATCACATGGAGACGTTACACGCTTGAAGAAGTTCTTTTTTTGTTTTCTCTTTTGTTGGGCACAATGGGACGGAGAAGTCCTCCAGGTGTGAATTGAACCAGAACGGGGAGTTAGGGGATAGTTAAGAGGGAATGTCCCCACCACCACTGTTAAAGTGGTTCAAAATGAAGGGCAAGCCTCTGGTTGTGGGCTCAGTAGAACCCAAAGATTTGCCCTTATGCATGCACTAACATAAACTTTGGTTCATTTCAAGAAACTCTTAGAAGACAAAAATGAAAAGCATCTGGAATTATTGCACAACTGATTTAGAATTATGAACTGTGGAGAGTTACACGTGTCCGTACTCTGGAGGGGTTTAGACGAGGAAGCGGTGATACTCTTTCATCCCATACTGCTTGAAATCTGTCACTGAACTTTGTTCAGAATTAGTGATCTCATCCAAATGTATATCTCTGTAGGGTGAAAACCTTGGTATCTTTTAGAAAGGGCTGCTGCAAGCAATGAGGACTGAGTGGTGACTGAGGCCTGTCCTGTTGACATGGCCCAGTAAGAGATTTATCTGTGACTTGACACAGAAGAGGGCTGATTCTTTTAAAAAAAAAAAAAAATTTTACTTGATAACTGGAATTCAGCTTATTATTTTAATTAAGTCCATATTTTTCCATGACATTTCCCCCCCCTCTAACGTTGTTAACCTTAAAAGGGGCCTGAGTGAATGAGTGTGTTAAGATTCAGCTGAAATAATAATTAATGAAACCATTAAAAAGCAATTGGTTAACACTGGAATGTTGTTTCATCTGGGCAGATGGGAAAGAGAATGGACACATGACATTTCTTTGTAAGCAAATATATCTTCGCATTCTTTATAAGTCTTTAAAATGTTTTAATGCAATACTTTAGGAAAATTGAATCTTTCAGGAGACAGACCATAAAAGGAACCGTACATTATTCTTCTTTCTTTCAAAAGTCATAGTGACCCCACACATAACTTTGTACTTAAAATTTGTCCTGGTCAACCAAAAAAAAAAAATTAATCTCTAGCATGAAAAGAAAAATGAAAACTGTGTTCTGAAGGTCTTGCTGCTTTCAATCCAGCAAATGGTTGCAGGTATCTCTCCTCCACTGGCTGCATATCCAACTCGACAATCCATTCCATTTGAACAGGTGCATATCACTATAAAGTCAATATTTGAAGTTGAGCAGGTTTATCTGTTGTAGAACTGTGAGGTGACCCAGGCCAGCCCCCATTTCAGATTTGTGAGCATGAACTTAAGTGCCTTGGTCCACTGCTCCTCAGAGTTAAACTGGGTTTTGATGGAATAGGATCCTCCATTTCCTCCTGTATCCTCTATCTTCCCCTTCTCCACATCCATCCTAACAGATGGAGAAGAACAGCAGTTAAAGCTATAGCATCAACAGACTGAAAAGTTGTTGCTAATAACAAGCACCATCTGTTTGTGTCCCACCTGTACGGGAGGCAGAAGCCAGTGTCTCCTTTCTCAACCTCTTCTTTGAACTGCTGGACACAATCCAGGAAGGCCACCATGGCGTGATCAAACTTATTGTCCCAGAAGAACCTTAAACCACCTGAGCAGTACAGTGGAAGTTCCTGGGCACAGATCCAAAAAGAAGGGACAGAACTGAATCCTGAAAGACTCTTAAACTAATACGGAGAGGGCTGGTCAGAGGAATAGTTTAAATTACCTTCGATTTGTCTGACAGGGACTCTAAGTATGAGTGGTTTCCATAAGGGACAAGACGATATCTGGTGAGATGAAGTCGGTGTTTGACATGCAGACAGAAATAAAAGGAGTTAGTCATCTTACATTAAATTAGCGTTATTACAAGACATAACCACAAGAGACGAGTTAACATAGAACCTAATAGTGGGAGGTACCAAGCTAATGCTACATTTCAGCAGTTAATAGCATTACCTCTGAAACCGCAGCCCCATTTTGTTGGCTAGAGCGTGCAGAAGTAGCACTGTCTGCCCCCAGGCAGCGTTGATTTCATTCCACTCCACTGGAACACTGGGAAGTCGGCCCAGACGGAAGTTATTGATGGTACCGAACTGGCCGCTGTGCCTGGAACAAAAGGACAAACAATTTGTAATTCTATTCAGTAGACTTTGGTTTACTTAGATTGTTGTGCCAAAGTCAACGTTTAAGTCCAAATTTACTTTGGACAAACCAAATAAAAAAGCTTATTTCTGAGAGTGTCTGCATACCAGATGTGAAACGTTGCATTGAAAACATTGGTCTTCTTCAGACGGTCCAGCTGAATCTGGCAGTAACGCATCTGGTTGTCGACACTCTTCAGCTCATCGTCCAGCTCTAGCTGCTGTCTTTTAAACTCACTGTACTCCTTTTGGTACCTGGTGGCATAGGGAGGGTGAGCACAAACAGCTGTGAGAAAATCTATCTAAACTGATTCACCACTTCACACCACTGCACAGTAAACACTCACTGTAGCTCCTCTGTGTCCAGCTGCTGAGCCTGGACCCTGCTCTGGGCCAGGTCCTGAGCCACAGCGGACCTCTGCCCCTCCACAGCCTCCAGGTCCTGCACTAAAGCCTCCTCCTCCTCTTTGAGCTGCTGCAACTCGGCCAGCAGGGTCTCCTCATCCTCCACCTGTAGGTTCGACAGCAGCTCCAGGCACTGCCTAAAAACAGATTGGAATCAGCACGCTGACAGATTTTACACAGGCTGCTAAAAGGTCGTCTGTCCTTTTAAAACGTATCTAACTACAACATGACGTCCAGTGAAATCAAAATAGCTTACTTGTAATTCTGGCACTCGTTTTCTGTGATGTTAAGCTGCGTGTCCAGATGGTCTAGGAGTGTGTCGGTGCACTCCTCACACAGTGGGTGGTCAACATCTGTTTGGCCTGACATGATGTCAAAAAGGTCACTGGTTACCTGTGTGGGAAACATAGACAGCTGGTTTATTTACACCGATAAAAACACCCTGTTGGATGAGCATGTAAACAGTATCAGGTAAATGACCCCCTCTCCCTGCGAATCAAGACAACATAGGAGTAAATATCACCTTGAGTCTTCGGCTAAGATTTTCCATTGTGCCACCATCAGATGCATCTCCGAGCAGCGTGAAACTGTTGGCGCTCTCCGTCGACATCATCCTGAAAAGAAGCGAATGATTCAGCTCTGTACAACGTGCTTTTGTTGTTGTTGTTGTTGAGGCCACCTTCACATTGACAAATCAGCGATCCACACTTGTCTTGGTTGCTCACCTGGCAGGAGGGATGTATTTTCGTGACACTCCATCTTGTTTGTTTTCAACAAAAGTCTCCTAAAGATAAAAAAAAGACAAACAAGTGGGGTGTTATCAACTGAACGTTTTGTGTATTTCGGGTGAAAGCAAAAGTCGAACATTTCTCTATTTGGAAATTCACCAATGGTTTCCAAATGAATATATCAGCTCCAAAAAGTGACTCCTAATCAGTTCACGTTAAATAACTACCTTCAGTTTTGACCGTGAGAAGTACATAATGTCATTTTTCGGCATAAATACACAATATATACAAATAAATTATTCAACAAAAAAGACTGAGTGTTAAATAATCTACATCTGGAGTTAATCCGAATCAATTTTATACAAACTTCGGATGTAAAACAAGGACTCAAATAAATCAATTTCCCTGAGGTTTCGGCTTTATCTTACTGGACTATTATCATTGAGGTAAAAACAGTTTGACCAAATAACTTTCTCCGGCCAGTGGAAAGTGGATTTCACGACTTTGACAGTTGAGAAGGAGTGAATGAAGCAGTAGAATGCCTCAATTACACTGATTCACTCTCAGTGGCCTTGGTGGTAGACTAAACGGTCTGGGACCACGGGAATCTGATGCAGAGCCAGACAGTCGCATTTATCTGAGCGTGTACAGGGTTGAAAAATCAAAGAATAAGCAGTAACCCACCTCTGGTGCTGCTTCGCCTCCGCTGTTGTTGTCGGCCTGTTTGCTGGGTGTCACAGTGACCAGTGGCGCTGCAGAGGATAGAGGCCACAAACACTCTCTTAACTACGTTCTCAGAAGCTTTCACGATCTGACAATTAAAGGTGTGCGTACCAATAAGTTCCTTGATGGTGGCTCGGTCGAGTACGTTGAACGATGTGTCCAGTTTAAGCGGCTGACAGCAGCGCTGACACACGAAGCTGACCTGCATGGTTGTACTCGACGACTTGGAGCCCTCCATCGCTACCAACATAACACGGAAAGAGAACAACACAATACTGAAAACGAGAGAAGCCTTGGGCAGCATAAGAGTTTGCAAAAACACCAAATAGCCTGTTAGCCTAGTAGCTTTTGGCACCAGTGTAAAGACAACTAACTGCTTTGAGTAGGTTTGCAATTAGCTTTGGATTAGCACAAGCAGAGTGAATAAACATATACTCACTGTCGTTTATGAAAAATAAAGCTCGTCGATCATAATCCCTATCTTTACCCGAGGGAAATAACAATCAAGTACTGATATTTTTAGTATTGCCCCACTTCCCTATTGTTGTTTACAGTGGGTGCGACATCTTCTTCCTACATTTTATTTCTGAGGAGTATAAATGCTGCATCGATGCTGCTGCCCTCTACTGTTTAGCACGGATACTTTCTCCACTTTCTTTCTTTCTTTCTTTCTTTCTTTCTTTCTTTCTTTCTTTCTT